TCTGGTTTATTCCACTTTTTATAATGTGTATTAAGTTGCTCTAGCATTGAGCCCTATCGTATGGTATTTGCAATATGAATTTTTAGCTCAAAATAATTTAGCCTTAATCATTTGCTGAAAAATTATAGCAGAGATTGTATCTCAAAACAACAACAAAAGTTACTTCATTGTCCATGATATACTTACTTTCCAGTATGTGGAAAGTGTACCCAACTAGATTTATATTCTGTTTATGCTGCCTTTTTACACAGTTCCCTACTTAAATAGCTCTTGAATAGTGAACGAATCCTAACTAGGGTGACAGGAAAAAGGCCATAGGAATAACATATATCGTTTTATTTGTAGGGAGAAGTCCAGTACGGCACAAGATAATAAATGATGTTTTGTTCAGTGACCCAGAATAGATGCACAATAAATATTTATGGAATGAATGGATGAATGAACAGATTCTGAGCGGAGCTTATACATAGCCACAGAGACAAAGCCACATATTGAACAATCCTTAACAAAGAACAGCAAATCAAAGGGCGGGAATATATTGAGCTAATCCAATTCTCTAGAGTACCCTGAAATTGCATTTGTCAGGATACTCACATTTCTGTAGGACAAAATATTGTTGGGTCTCTCTAAGCTCATAACGTCCCTCGGTATAACCCTAGAAATGCAGAAACAAGCATGTAAATACCTCTGCACATTATAAACCTGCCGCCATGCAGATTTAGCCTCCAAAGGAGGTGGTAGAGTATTGATCTTGGTCGTTCTAGGGTAGTCTCTTCCCATGCCTTGTGCACTTTCCTCCTGTGCATCCCTAAGCTTGTGGACAAGATTTAGTAACAGAAAAGGGAGTAGAACTTGAGTTCGTATTTGACTAAGCCAACAACATAGGAAATAAAATTTCTGTTGAATAGGGACCCAATGAAGAGTCTGCCAATTAAATCCTGAGAGGATTTATCTTCTGGTCTTTGTCTCCAACGTACATGTATTAACTGATCATTTTAGCAACTTTATTTTGGGCCTACCCCCTTGCCCCACCACAACCTTCCAGGAAGGATTCAAAGCTCTGAGGAGGTCATATACCTATTGTTTGTCTTCAAGCATTCAGAAACTGTAGTCTAAGATTAACTTCTTAAAGAATTTTTTTTAAATCCCAGTTAGGAATGCATAGGTGCTAAGTTCCTCGAATTTCTCAGCTTGGACATTTTCTGGGGTTGTGAGGGTTTTACATGTTACTATTTAATTGACAATATTTGATGTATGATTCTTAAACTTAATTTCAGAATCTTGAGATTAAATGATCTGTGTAACAGAAGACTGTACACCTCTTTCCTTATGCACAAGTTGGACCTCAGCTTGGGAACACAAGGTAGTTTGTTTAAAAAAATAAAGACTAATTCTTTGGTCTTTCTCTGGAGGGCACACTTATTAGGTCATCGATTAGAAGCTTCTCTGAATATGAAATTCAGTAATATACAGGTTGTTAGGGAGGCTTTGTTTGGACTAGACTAATGAGAAGGGGAGAGTCAGCAGGTATGGGACCAGACAAGGGGTAGGGGGGGGGGCGGGAGGCATTAGCAGAGATAGGTGAAGACAACAGATAAGGAGAGTAAAGCAAGTTAAAGATGGAGTTTTAAGTAGTCTACAGAGTCCAGACTCCGCAGTCACGCTGCCTGGGTTTCAGCTCCAGCTCTACCACTTCCTAGCAGTGGAACGTTGGGCAAACTTTTTATGGATCAGTGTCCTTATCTGTAAAACAGGGATAATAAGAGGTAAGAGTATCTTCCTCATAGGGTTAAATAAATTTATGTATAGGGTTTAGAAAGTATCTAGAAATTATAAGCATTTGTTTCTATTATTATTATTATTATTATTATTATTATTATTATTATTATTATTATTTACATGAGACTCTCCCAAGACTCAGGTTACTTAAGCAAGAAGAGAACTTTGAAGTACCCTCTGGATATTCTTCTCAATGACTTCTGATTATCCTAATAATGTGTTCTGTGTAAAACTAAGAGTGTTGTACAAGCAGAATTATACCATGATGGCTACATTTATAGTGCAGGGAAGATGGGCCCACTCAGCTTGTGAGTCCGCTTCCCCGTCACTCCTTGGGTGAACCAAAGAAATCAGCTGTCACTATACTTGTATGCTGTTTTTCCCAAGAGGTACTGCTGTGAAACCCAGAAAACCTTGCCTGCTACTGTGGCTCAATTTTTAGTTTCAGCTGTTAGAGTATTTTTGTTTGTTTGTGTCTGTGACACAATTTGTGGATTACCTCCTGTGAGTACCTATGAATAGACAGGGTTTCCTGGGAAAATAGCAACCATTAAGTCAAATTTCCTCACTTTGGGGTCTACTATATATCTGATCTTTACCTCTATTTCCCTATTTCCTATTTCCCACCACACACACACACACACACACACACACACACACACACACAGAGCTATATGTCTTTTTTCTCCCTACCCCTGATTATTGGACCCAAAACAAGAGGGAAAGTTTAAGAAACATCATATTTGACTGCTATCTCTTTGCCCTAGAGTTAGTCATTTGTTTGTTTAAGGCCTAGACTATAGAGAAGTGGAAGAGAAAAGTAATTATAAATCTAAAAGAGATTCTTTGCAAGATTGGGGAGATTGGTTATATATGGATGTGTTTCATTTGTTTTAGTTTTTGTAAAATAATATTTGGCTCTGATTATATTACTTATATTTGTTGTTAAAAGTTTAAAAAAATAAAAGAGTATAAAATATAAATATCACATGTAATCTTCTATTCAGCTATAAGTATTAACATTTTATATATAGCCCACTAGGTCTTATCTTATAAATACATATACTTTTTATTAAAGAAAATTGGGATCAAAGTGTATATACACTGTTTGAAATCAATTTCAGTTTTCAAATAGTAAATGTAATGAAAAATAAATTTCAAGAAAGAAGAGAAAAAAAAGGTTCTTTTAGGCAGGTTTCTCCTCACTAATTTAATCAGTTTCCTTTTTCTGTTCCTTTGCACTTTACTCTTATTTCTGTCTAGTCCTGTTGCTACTGGTTCTGTGTTTCCTGTATCCTTCAGACTGTATACCATACAGTTTTTGATAAGTTACTAAAAATTTCCAAATTACACAGCTGGTAAGCATGAAGAAATTTTTCCAAGATGAAGGACTGAGAGTTAATATTATTATAACTGACAGACTCAAAAAGCTATTATTAACTAGAGCATGTTATGTATGCTCAGTCAGCCGTTGGCCACACTTATCCAAATACCAGAATTTGGCACCTGGGGAGGAGACAGATTCTTGCTGAGATGGAAGTTTCAGCTTCATATGGGATCTTTTTATTTCTCAAGGGAACTCTGCTTTTCCTGGCCCCTGTATTACTTGGTTTCTTCTGGGTTTCATCTTGGAGTGACATCGATAAGTTCCTATCTTCACTGAATACAGCTTGACATATCTAGTCTCTGGTGATAGAAATCCAAGTAGTGGTTACCTGTGTGTGTGTGTGTGTGTGTGTGTGTGTGTGTGTGTGTGTGTTGTGTGTATACATGCTGTTTTGAGTGGAAAGAGACAAAAGTGATGCATCTGGGTAGTGGTTACATGGATGTCCACATGTAAAGTATATTTGTGTAGTTTACTGTTGTTACATTTCAATTAAAAAAAAAACACTCTTTGACCCACCCTCTTGCCAGTCTGTCAGTGGTTTTTAGGCTGGAAATCTAGTCAAGACCTAGAAAATTTCAGGGACTATACGCCATTCATTGTCTTAGCTATAGAGACCACTAGTCTCTTCAGTTCCTGGACTGTTCATAGAGCAGTAGTACCCAGGGATGCTCGCCACCCCACAAAAGGAGCTTTGTCGTCCAGTAAGTGTAGGAAATGCTGCACAATCTAGGCCCTTTTGAGAGATTCACAATGTTCATTGAAATGTTCTAGTCCCTAAGTCCTACAGCAAAGACACATGTTTATCCCAACTTGTCCGAAACTTACTTAACTGTGAAACTCTTTTAATAAATATCTATTAACACCTCGTTAGGATCATCAACTTACATTTAGACAGAAACCTGGTCAAGGCATGTCCCCTCCCCCAGGTGATATGTATTCGACCTGCTGGCTTTATTGTATATGAGGTCACTCAGGAAGCTTCTAGCTTCACTAAACCGCGCTCACAATCCAGAGTTCATTGTCAAGCTGCTCTTTAATTAGGTTTTTTCTTTACATTGAACATAACACTATAACTTACCATAATTCAGTTGCAAAAGGAAGTTTTTAGTGCAGGCTCTCAACATGGAAGTCAGATTAGACATATCAGCATGGAATTGCAGTGCCCAAGAGAAGTAAGTGAGGCATCTGATAAAATGAGAACACAGAATAAGTGTGAGGTCCTTCAGAATTCTGGGACTTTATAGATTAAGTACATATGATAATAAGTTCAATTAGTCTGTTCTTATTCTCTAATTTGACATCCAACTTATTTTTAACAGACTTGTTCAATATCTAATAGACTGATGAACAAAGCTATAATTCCATCTAAACCCAAGATTAGATGTTTTCATTGAAATTGTTAACTTTTACTATCTTGGTTCTTGAGGTTATAATTGTTAAAATGATATCCTAATTGATTTGGGGAGAAGAAATAAAAGTAATGTAAAGGACAGGAATATGATAATAAAGTCACTTATACCATAATTTAGTTTTCAAAGAGCTTATTTTATTACATATTTGTTTATAGACTCCCACACAATCTAAAAGGAAAATGTTTAAATGTTTTGTACAAATACTCTTTCACAGTCTTTTCTATTTATTTTCCTGTCTCAAAACAACATGTATAGCTAACAGTGATTTCTTTAAAACCACCACTTTTGCTAGAATGGCTAAAGGTTTAAGAATATAAGCAGTTGCCACCTGACACTGGGGTGGGTCAAAGAGTTGGGGGCAGTCCAGTTTTCATTCCCCTCCTTCACTCTTTATCTCCATCTTCTTATCATGTCTAGATTTCTCCAGGCAGCCTTCAACTCCATTAGAAAAAGCAGGTAGGTCTGCAAACATCTGTCTAATCTTTCTAGGGCAAGGTGCTGATATTTCAAAGTTTTAAGGAAAGAAACTCCTATATTTAAATACTAACAATTATTTGCAAATAATTTTATTCTCAAGGAAACATACCCCATAATATGTCTGCCTTATTTTATTTTTTATTTTTTAGCTGAGTCATCCTGCCACCTGTTGGCAGCTTAGCAGCAGCTCAGCTTGGGCCAGGAATCGAACCGGCAACCCTGTTGCTCAGAGCTCACACTCGTGAGCGAGCTCTTAACCAACTGAGCCATTTGGCCATCCCCTGCCTTATTTTAAAAGACTTTAAATTCAGCTCCTGGAGCAGTACTCCCAGTATTCAGAGATCAATCGCATTCGAATCATGGAACAATATAAACATGTATGCTGATTTCTGGGCTTTTCCTCAAACATATAGTCTGTGAAGAGCTCAGTCCTCTAAATGTCTAACGTGCCCTATAGGTGCTGATCAAATCACCTATGGGGATTCTTTTTTTTAATGCTGATGATGAGTTTACTCAGAGTTGCTGATCAAGGTGAGGCATGACCTCTGTATTTATAAACAGTTCCACAGGTTCAGTGAATGAGTACAAGGCTTGAGAACTGCTCCAAGAGTTGATTAATGAAAGGAGGAATGCTGAAAGATCTATTTCTGTTTGCCAATGGATTGTTTGTTAATGTAGAGAAGGATAGGCAAACATATTAACCAGATTAATTATTAATGAAGGATGGAGGAAAACATGTGAATAGATCGAATGCTAGAATCTCTCACCCTAAAACAGGTTCACAGTGACATTTCCGCGACCTTAATTCTTAACTCCGGATGCATTCTAGAATTCTCCAGGAGTGAGCTTTTTTAAAAGACCAATGCTGGGCCCCATTCCAGACCATTAAATCAGAATCTACAGGGGTGAGGAATGGGACCTGAGCTACTGCTCATTTGAAAGATCCTGGGCCTAGGATCGAGATCGTGGGCTGGCTGCCAGCGTAAGAACTTGCTCTATGACATATGAGAAGCTGTTTGAGTCACCTGCTATTGTTGACATCACAAGCCATTCAGGTTTGCCTCCAGACCCTTGGAGGCCAGACTTGAGTAGAAATGAACTCTTGGCACTATACTCTTACCTCTTTTCTGACCTCTAAAAAACCACCATCATTAGCATTGGCTGTTTTATTTATAAAAGTGGTTGCCACCTGCTTTCTTGACATAATGTGGATCAGTATATTGCTGAGAACAAAGGCTAGAAAGTTATATCACTGACAAATTTGCTAGTTAAAATTTGGAGGGATAGGGGGTGGTATTTGTGGAATTTTGTGATCTGTTGCTTGGCAACTTTGAGACTGTTGAGCTTCATTTTGCCGAGGGCTTGAAAAGTTGTCCTTCAGAGCCAGCTGCCCAGAGCTATGTCACACTTCTTCTACTTGACGCCACAAATTCTTCTGCCCTTTAGCCCTCTTACTTCTCAAGAGTTTGATCTGATCAGATGCAAGGCTGGGGCATCGTGGCGGAATGAAGCAAGGTGGTCAGATGCTTCTGTAACAACCTACGCAGGCAGTTACCGGAAAAAACAACTGGATGAAGCCACGTGCAGCCCATTTAAAGCAGGACAGCGTTGGCCTGCGTGTTGCCAGTAAGATTTCTTTGTCATTTGCACCTGGATATGTCACTATAAATAGACAAGAATGCTATTAGAAGAAAGAGGGTATTGTAAACCCCAAGAGATTTCCCAGGCTTGAACGCTGCGTGTTTTCCTGTGTAAATGTCAGGTATCGGCTGAAATTACGTCTTCTCTATTCAGTGCTCATAAGATTATGTAAAACAGGATATAATAATGAAAACATAAAAATATGAGTATTTCATTTAAGATGTAGATATTTTTGGGGTTCTCAGCTCAGCAAAGAGGTGCACCTGAGCGTTTCACTTTGTTTCTTGTCTAGTTCTACTTCTCCACTTTGAGCTGAATAATTCCCTCAGAGCCGGAAGAAAGTCAACTAAACCCTCCTCTACTCCCTCCCAGCCCCGCCCCCCCCCATATTGTCTATCGATGAGTGTGGTGTTGAGAGCCCGAAAGACATTTTCTGAGTGTTTACTGTAAGTCAAGCCCTATGACAGGCCCACAAGGGGGGAAAAATGAATTTCAGTTTAATATGATAACCGAAACAGTAGAATTAAGTAATCAGCACAAGGCGGGGGTGGGGGTGTGGGGGGGGATGTTACGTGTCTGTGGTGGTGGGGGGAAGGTATTGTGAGAAAGATCTCAGTAAAGCAGGTTTCCTCTGAGCTGGTTTAGAAGGTGGGGGAAGAAAAGGAACACTGCACAGAGGAGTGAGGAAGCACAGAGGAAAACCAGCATTCAATCCCAAGCATGATCCGAGAACCGCAGACAGCGTCAGTGGGGATGTGGAAAAACAGGAGGACGCGTTACGAAATATGTCACTCTGTATATTCATTGTCAAATATCTTGTCTGAACTCTGGGAATCTATTTGAAAATCCATCGGATTATTGGCTCCAAGTTGAGATGTAAGGGATAACTCAAATAATACCCTAATATTAGTTATATTGCCTTCTGGGGCTTTCCAAATTATTAATCAATGCTTAAAGCTAAAATGTCTCAGAAGTACTTTCCAACTGGATGCTTTGTCTGGTTGATTCCAACAAACTACAGTGTCTGCATTTTTAATGGCCGTCAAATATGTTGATAGTGCAATTAATTTTGCAAGTTCCTTTGCTAATTCTGTGAATTTCAAGGCACCTCTTGGCCAGATAGGGGAATCTTCAGCACTGCTGGGGTCCTGTCTGGAAATAGTGTTTGTAAGCTGGCATCCAAACATATTCACTCATCAGAGTAGAAAAAAATATTTAATAACTGAAAAGAATGCAGAAGTATGACATCTGGTGAAAATGTACGGAACTTTGAACTTGTTTCCTATTTAGAGTATGATCATTATGTGAATCATCCCAACCAAGGCACCCTATGACATTGCAAACCGCAAAAGAGCACAAGCTTGTGAGGTTTATCTGTTTTTTTGAAACCTCAGAAATGTAAATATATCCTGTGCACAACTACTGCTTATTCTATTGCAGACTAAGAAGCAGCAAGGGTTATAAATGAAGATGAAGGACAGATTAAGCTCATTTTGAAAGTAGTGGTTGTATTCTAAATTCACTTTTGTTTTCCATCTTTTTCTTGGTTAATTTTAGCCCCAAGGACAAATGTCTTAAGTTCTGAGCAAAAGCTGTTTGATTAAAATTTTGTAAGGCTATAAAGAGATATTTTTGCACTGCCATAAAATTAAAATGGTCCAAGGGACATTACTGAATACAATATGAAATGACTGATCATTTAAAAATGTGTCAAGGCAGGAAACTATTAGAGAATACAAAGCAATTCTTTTTGTTCACCTTCTTTCCTCACCATACACATTAAATACCCATATTGTGCAAGACAGAGGGAACCTGGTAGAAGCCTTGATCATTTGGTGCTGAGTCAGTTTTAACAGCAAATATGTAACATTCATAAACATGCAAAAAGAAAGATACTGCACTGAGAGAATGGAGGTTAGTGTGAGATAGAAAGGACCCAGCTCCCATGCGGAATAATTCCAAATATTTTGTGTAGTTAGTTTGTACTCAAGAAGGTGGAGCATAACTCACTACTCTGTAAGTGTGAGCTGTGTGTGTGACTCTTTTTCAATGAATAAATGGGATGCTGGAACAGAAAAAGGACTTTAGGGGAAAACAGGAAATCTGAATAAAGTATGCCCTCTAGCTAATGGGTCAACAATCTGAGGAGTGTGTTTTCAGGGAAAACAGCAGAATTTTGGTAATAACAGCAGGGTTTGTGGCTTTGAAACTTGATCCCTCTCATTCCCTTGATAGTTCCTGAGAGCAATGGTTCCTACCCTTGTTTGATCACAAGAATGATCATTTTGTTAAAAATAATGATCCTCAAGCCATTCCTCTCAGAAATTCTGATTCTGAGGCACCAGTGGACGTATATGTTTAACAAATGCTCTGCATGACTCTTATGATTAGAAAACAATGGGAAACGCCACTTTGTATGGGGGTGAAAACTCTGTTCTAGCAACACGGCCACCTGATACCAAACTTCAGTTGAATGTTTTCAATTCCAGGTAGATTAATTCTAAGTGAATTAAAGAAGTAGGTGTGTAAGGCAAAACAAGAAAACCATTAGATGACAATATAGAGACTATCTTGATGACTTGAGTTTGGCAAAGACATCTTAAACAGAACACAAAAAGTACTATCTACAAATAAAAATGAGATAAATCGAAATACCTTAATATTAAGTAATTCCGTTGAACGAAATACACCACTGAAAGTATGGAAATGAGCCACAGAGGGCAAGAAGATTATTTTCAGCTCAGTGACTGACAAAGGGCTTGTAACTATAAATACATTAACTCATGTGTCTCCTTAGGCACTTCCCAGTAGTGACAGTTTCTCAGACTTTCTTTGTTTTGATGACCTTGACAATGTTGAGGATTACTGATCAGGAATTTTGTGAGCTGTCTCATGATTACATGAGGGTAACGTATGTTGGGGAGGAAGGCCACAGAGGTGAAGTAGCATCCTCATACTGCATACAAAGGGTAGAGACTGTCAGTATGGCTTATCATTGTTGCTATGATCCCTGATCAGCTGGCTTGAAGTGGTGTTTGTCAGGTTTCCCCACTATAAAGTTACTCCTTTTCCCCTTTCTATGATATTATGCGTATAAAAAAAAAACTCTTAAAAATTATTATGAAAAAAACAACCCACTAGAAAAATGGGAGACTTTAAAAAACAAAATTCATCAACCAAGATATCCAAGTGACCAATAAACTTATGAAAAGGTACTTAACCACACTAGTCATCTGGAAATGCTAATTACAACCACAGTGAGTTTTCTCATATAGAGGAACCCTCCAGAAAGGGTCAAATGAAAAAGACCATCAATACTGAGTGTTGGTGAGGATGTAGAACAATGAGATCTCATATACAACTGGTGGGAATGTACGTGGATGTAACTCTTTAGAAAACCAGTTTGGTCTCATCTTCTAAAGATGCTGTGGATACCCTAAGACTTAGCAGCTCTACTTCTAACTATGTACCCAGCTGAGAGGCATCTTCACACGTGCACCAAGAGACATGTATACATATGTTCATAGCAACATGTTTCATAATAGCCAAAAAACCGAAAACAAGCCTAATGGAGAATAAGTACTATCTATCCATCCACAGCAGAATGGAGAGGCCGTGAGATGTTCATACAATGTCAGTGAATATGAACAAACTCTGGTGACACCCAGTAATGTCATCAACCTAATGCTGAGCATTTTGAGCCAGACAAAATACATATTATATACTTCCATTTATATAAAATTTAAAAAACAAAAACAAAAAACCCAAACCAAACTATAGTGTTTGGATTGTCTGCTTAGGTGATACAAAATATGAAGAGAGGCTAAGAAGGGAATCCCATAGAAGTCAGAAACGGCTCCACTGACTGCCTGTATGAGACCACCTGCCCCAAATCTATCAAAAAACAATTGCTGGGCTTGGACTCAGAAATCTGCATTTTTAAATTAATACCCTCAGGAGATTCAATTGCTGCTATACGTTAGGAGAACAAAGATGCAAGGTGGGCCACCAGCCCCTGTCTCGGGGATGATTAGGGCCCATTTGTTGGCTGAGCATTTCTGGACTCTCGAGGCTGATGTCAGCCCCACGCTACCCCACCATACCTACACAGTTCCAGGTCCCTGGAGCCTGGAGACCCTCCGTCCCCTAATCGGAGACCCTAAAACAATGGCCACCATGTGATGCACTCTAGAAATTGATGACTCTGTCCATTCCATACAAAATAACCTGTGCTCTCCACTAAGCCCCAGTTGGCCTAAAAAGAGCATCACATCTGGATTCAGGGAAACTGAGGTGTAGATGCGTTTCAAGGCCTAGACACAGCATCTGTGGGTCCCCAAGTTACTCCACTGCTATTAAGTTTTGCTGGGAAACCAACATAATTACTGTAATATTTCCTATTCCATTCATAGCATTTATTTTGAAAACAGCTCCTTAGAGAAAGACTCATAAATCCTGTTATAACAATTATCAACTTAATGTTTGAGCTTTTCACGTATAAAAGTCGAACATGTTTACCCTTTTATGACATCAGGGAACAAACAAATCACTAAAGACAATGAGAAAGTCCAACTTGGGTTGATTTAATGGGAGTGCAGGGTTATGGTCGGGAGTGTGGAAAAGGGGGAGAGAGGAAGCAACTGTTTAAGAAATCAAATGGAAAGATGAGTGAAAATCCCTCTAAATCCTTAGGCTGTGACTTATAAACCCATTTACGTATAATTGTTTCTTCTGCTTGCTTCCTTTAGGATGTCCTCACCAAACTGCTCATCTTGCAATCCCACACTCTGCAGGGATGGTCCCCAGGACACAGCAGATGTTAAAGGTAAGTGCAGCAAGCTCAGTGCTGGGCAGAGCCCTTTGCCAAGGGTGCTGTTTTATAACCTCGGTTCTGGATTGTAGCCCATATGGTTTCCACTTGTCTACCAGAGGCAGGGAGTCGTTAGCGAGAAAATGAGCATATTCCATTCTGGATCTGTCACTCTTATTCCAGGGCAAAAATATCCCTCCTCCAATTAGCCCCAGAAGGTAACTTCTGCCATAGCTGGGAGCTCTAGGTAATGCAATCTAGAGCTGTCCTGGGTACACCAAAGCACTAAGAAGAGAAAGCAAAGCTATCAACCACCAACGACTAAACTACATTTGCTAATCTATAACCACCTCCACCCTGTTTTAGTTAAATTAGGATAGCACTAGCTGCTATAATAAATAAACCTCCAAATTCCAGTTGCTGAACACAATAAAAAACTTTTTTTCCCCCCTTCATATAAAGGACAAGGTTGGGTGTTTTCCAAGTAGACCTTTCACATGGTGATTTAAGGTCACAGACTTCCTTCATCTTGGGGTTCTGTCACCCCCTTGGGCCTCCGAGTCCTTTGTCTCTATCTGGCAGGTGGGGGTGAAGGGTAGACAAGGCACACCTGCTTTTTGACCACTTCCGCCTGGAAATGGCACGCATCTCTTATGCTCACATTCCAATGGGAGAATTAGTCACAAGCCTCCCCCTAGATGTCAGCTCAGAAATGGATTCCGTGGCTGGGCAGCCACTTCCTAGTGACAGCTACACACACTGGAAAGGAACAGCTGGCCATCCTGCCACACACACTGGTTTTGAGGAAGAAACACAGTAGGCTTTTCCCATATACTTTCCGTCTCTCAGGGCTGAATTTTTGAAGGTTTAATAAGACTAATGCAATCACAAATTAGGATATTTTTTTTAGCACTTTATGAAATTTCTGGTAATATTTTCTGCTGTCGTAGTTAAAGGTTTACTACGTATGTGTGTATTGGGAGAGGGGTGGGCGGTGAAAAGAGCTATTCTGCAGCACCATGGGGTTTTCTGAAATAATGGAGACACAGGTTTTTAACAGCTGCCTTGGATGATTGCTATTCTGCCGGCTTTCCTAATAAAATTTGACTTTATGGGAATAGTACATTTGAGATGGGTTTTATGCGTTCTCCTATGGTTTGTTGAGGCCAGAGGACAGGACAGCTAACCATTTGTGCAATTGCTAAAATCAGGAAAGACTCTCTTTCTCCCCTTTGCAGTAATGAACATAAAATTGAAACACACTACATAGCTCGGAGACAGGTCGGAGCTAGGGTACAGGAAATTAAACAGCCCGATCACATCATTCATAGTAAGCTAAGGTGACAGTGCAACTGATCTGAGTAGCACAGAGTCCAGTCCTGTGACATTTATGTGCTATTGGTGCCCTTCAGGATTCTGATTAACCCTGCTAATCACCTCTGGCCCGTGAGGGCTGAGAGCTGAGCGGTCCCCCAGTCGATGGGTGGGAGTATTTGAAGGGAGATAACAGGAGCAGCAAAAGCAGTAATTTACTGCCATGATAGATATGACTGTTTTCCTATCTCCTCTTCTGCTTTTATGGTAAAGTATTGACAGGAGGAAAGGTAGAAATGATCTGAGTGTATATCTTCATAGTGATGACTTCTTAATAGATTTTTCCCATGTGTCTTTTTCATTCTCCTCAAATGGTCACGTTAATTTGACTGATAGCTACTCTCTTCATTAAGAGATGACAGTACATCAAGGCAGAATTATGTAATGTGGCCAAATGATAACTTCTCCTTGCGCTTCCTTTCAATTTCCATGTTTAATATTTGGATTATCAACCTTGTTCTAGAAGCCCCTAATGAAGGGAGTTAAAATAGGAAGCCAAGGATCAAATCGTCAATACAAGCCAGCTATATGAATGTACTCACCACTGGTAGACGCTGGTCTGTTGATTGTCTCTTTGTAGAAATGTATCCATTTATGTAGATATGCAAATCAGATGGGCGGGTCTTAAGTGTGATTTCATGGTCATCATAGGAAAAAAGTTCTCAAATTCTCACAACTGCCTTTCAAAGAGTTCAGTCATTGGTTCTGCCTGCGTGAAGGTGGTTTTCCTTGTTCACTGGTATTCGTTTTCTTTCCAAGTCTTTGATTTGGTTGTGGCTTTTTCCTCCTATGGTCCCATCATACACTCACCTCTCCTATTCAAAGAAGAATGAAGCAATTGCTAATAAAAATAGAAATCACATGTCGTAAAACTACAGTACTACAAGCAGGAATTATTCAACAATTGAACTTTTTGTCCATTTACACTCTGCTCAAACAGATTCTAGCAAGCTTCAAAAGCTTCCCTCCAGCAGAAACAATTTATGAAGCGTGTGGTGGAGTGCAGATTGTGGCAGGGCTGGGGCAGCCCTTGCTGGCTGGCCCTGTCCCTTCTAGTGTTCTTAGCGCTATGCCTGTGCCCCACACCTGCATCCCTCTGAGATGAGCCCAAGTTACCCTTGCAAAGGGCATACTGGCCTCTTTAACCCTGGGTGTTTCAGGAGACGTAATCTGTACTAGGGAAGTAGGTTTTACATAGTATGACCATGTGAAAGCCCAGATGTGACATATATGTAAGATCTCCTTGGAATAGTCCCTAACCACAGATAACAAATTCCAAGTGTCTGAAGTAGCGACTGGAACTGTTTTGAGGTTATACAGCCTTTTACAAGAATGACAGGGTCTAGGAGAATATTGACAAAAAACAAATAATATTCTAAGCAACATGAATATGGTTTATCCTGTTACTTCAAGAGTGTTTGGGCCCATCCTTTAACATCCTTGTTTTTCTTCTATTTCTTTGCTCCCACTTTTGTTTCTCTGTGAAGCCTTCTCCAAACCTTGAAAACTTCTAAAAGCAATAAGAACCCACCAGACTACCCCATAAATCATGTCTTCACACAGGAAGATCTTAAAGCATAAACAAGAAGATGTCACTTTTCTCTTTCCTGTCACACTAGCAATAAAACCCTAATTTCTTACCAAGGCCTTTTAGGTCTTGCATGGTGACCCTGCCTATCTTTCCAGTCCCATTTTGTGCCTTTCCTTCCTTTTGTTCACTCTGTTCCAGTTCCAGTGGCTTCCTTTAATAGCCTGAAAACGGTAAGCCATTTCCTGCCTCAGGACCTTTGCACATACATTGCCTTTGCTGAAATGCAATTATTCTGGCTCTGCTGAGCTGTAAACTTCAGTCTGAATTTAAATGTCACCTCTAAAGAGAGGTTTTCCCTGGCCACCATATTTAAAGTAAGTTCTTCCCATTCTTTCCATCTTCATTTCTATCTTAGTGTCTAGTTTGCTTTGTATATATTCTTGTATTTGTTTACTTGTTTATTATTTCTTTCTCTGTCTAGAGCACATGCTTCATGAGAGCAGGAGCTTATCTGTCTTGCTTGTCTTTGTATCTCCAGCACCTGGGACAGAGCTCAGCACAAACCAGATGCCCTATAATTAATTGTGTGTTGAACAATCATGGACCTTCCATGGTTGACTTTTTCTTCTTCACAACATACTTCCTTAAAGAGGCAGTTTCTTATCTATAATTTGTCTTCTAAAAGGAAATTCATAAAGTCCTGTGCTTTTTATAATTAGAATGTTGTTTCTATAGAAGCAACCTTTCAAAAACTGGTGGTTCCAATGGCAGTCTTTAGAATCCTATGTAGCAGCCCATAAAATTATAATACTTAAAAAAATTAATGGATAAATAGCGTGTGACATTGTTGCATAGGTGCATGATTTTAGTTATACACCTTCTCCACCCCCCACCCATGCTCCGTAATGGGCTGAAGGAGATACAGCCAGGTGACCTCCAAATCTGAAACATACACGTGCAATAGTAGAAACGATGGTCCATGTGACTTGGGGTGAGAGGGAGGAAGGAAAGAGAACTGAGAACACCTGGTGCCTCTGGGGAAGCCGGGAAGTCCCTTCCATGTCTTAGTAATGTGGGTGCCTTGTGGCTTCCAAGCTACTGTTAACTTTGCTTCCATAATGTCTCAGGAATGTGCCCCCTGGTGCTGTTGTGAGATCATTTCCAAAGCTTATTGCTCCTGGAAGCTGGGACCCCAGGATGAAGGGTTGGGGCACGTCTGAATAGTGGGGACTTTCCGCACAGGTTTCCAGCCTGCCTGAGCAGGGGGACAGCAGGCTGGTCCTGGCATGGAATCCTAAGGGGGTAAATGGCAGCCAAACAAGGCAACGTGCCCCGGCTTCCCTGGGAGAGAGGCACAGCTCCCCAGTCAAGGCCCCTGCACAGCCAGGCCAGCCTTTCCCAGGCAGAGGCATCCGGGGACTGTCCCCTCTTTAAGGCATCCTTTGTTCTGAAGTCCAGAAGTGGGGCCGCCTGGAAAGACTCTTACCTCCCCCGCAGCTACCAGGAAAAGCGCTGGAATGAAAACCTACACCCCCGCATATCCCCCCCCACCCCCCTCTTATGCTCACATTCCAATGGGAGAATTAGTCACAAGCCTCCCCCTAGATGTCAGCTCAGAAATGGATTCCGTGGCTGGGCAGCCACTTCCTANCACCCCCCCGCAAACAGAAACCTAGTTCTGATCCAGCTGGTCCTGCATGTGGCTCTGCACCTCCTGTGCCTGTCAGCTGAGTCGCTTCTACCCCGAGGCCCGTCCCTCACTGCCCACTCCCATCACATCCCCGGGGGATGTCCTTCTTGCCTTTTCCCTGCCGCCTTCCCCACACGCGTTGCCCACGGGTTCTGCGCTTTCCACTCCCACCTGGAACCAGCCCTCCCAGCCTATTCTGGTGAGAGGAGAAGAGGACTCCTCAGGCTTTGGCACGCGTGTCTTCTCCCAGCACGCTGGCTCGCCTTCCACTGTCCACACAGGAAGCTGCCCCTGTGGGATGGCTGGGGACGAGGAGGGCCGGACGGAGGGCTGCCCCCTCCCCTCATGCCCGCCCTCGCCCTCCCTCGCCCTGCTCTCACTGCGGACCTTCACAGCCCCGGCGGCCCGGGGTGTGCAGCAGAGGGAACCAGGTGACTTAGAACAAGCCCCGCTCGCCACGGGGTTCCCACGTTCACTCCTGGTATGGGCTGTCACAGCATGGGGACCTGCGGATGCTGGCTTCAGTTTATTTTCTGGCTAATTTGTATGCCTTGCTGTGGGATGTGCATACATTTTCTTTAAACCACACAAAGGAAAAAGCTGACATTGGCCACTGGTAAATCTAGAAAGCCTGAGAAACAGTTTGCCCGGGACTGAGGTCGTCACCACATTGACAGTGACACATATGAGGACAGACGGCCAGCACAGCCCAGAGAATTCCAGGATGGGTCCCCCAGACTCAGGAATGCCAGTGTCCCTTTCAGGTTGTGGGGTTTTTGTTTTGCTCCCTCTATTTTAAATTAGGAAACAGTCTCATAAATGGTTAAATCTGTTGGCCAGAAAATATTCAAGTCTAAAGCAACAGTTTCCACATTCCCCGCAGAGACTGGACACCAGGGAACATTGGCCGCCAAGCCTGTTATTAAGAAGGTCACAAATGCCATCTGTCAGCCGTGTGCACTTTGCTAGTCAAGCGTAACGTCAGCTAGGAGGTGGCTGCAGTTACATTTGCCTGTGGACTTGAAAGGCAGTGCGTTCATGGGCACGCCAGGGACTTGAGTGGGCTTGTGTGAGCGAGCCGGGTGTCTGCCCACAGGATGCGCTGGGGCCATGTGGGGAGAAGCTAAGAAGATGAAACACTGATTTCAGGCCTGTCCTCGGTTGTGGTTCAAATGTGATTTGGGCTGCTGCCGGCGGGCTTTCCTAATCTTTTTCTGCCTAATCGTTCTAGCCAGCTGTAAAATACGACCATAGCATTCCTTCTTTACTGATAATTGTGAAATTAAGGCAAATACATGAATGCCTTGTGCTTATATTCACCACTTAACAAAATCTTTTTAATCCATAGAAGAGTTGAAGAAATAGTCCAATCAATATTCACCTACCCCCACCTAGATTCATCAGTTTGAACGCGTTGCCAGATTTGTTAACGTGTTGCTTTATCTCAGTCCCTCTCTGTTGATACTTATATATATTTCTCGCTGATCTATTGACAGTGAATCACAGACATCATAAACGTATGTCCTTAAATGCTTCAGCATGCGCCTCTTAAGAGTAAGAATGTTCTCTGACCGAACTATAATACTGTTATCACACTTAAGAAACTCAGTGTTGATAGAATAATTTTTTTTACACCTAACATACAGATCATTAAATAACTCATTCTTAAAAATCTGTCAGGAAAAGGTTTCCTATCCCAATGGTTAACAGCTCTCTCTTTAAGACACCTCACATTGTTGAGGCAATTTGAAAAATCTGATGAAAGTTCTGGACCCTATCTTCAGGAAAATAGCCACAGAGACACTTCTACTAGCCAACAATGCACACATCCCGAATCCCTCGGGGTGTCCACGGACTCTAGGTTAGAGTGTTGCTAACCTTCGATCTAAATTCTCCTCGTCTGGGTACATACAATTTAAGACCGCAGTACTCAGAAAGGTGAAGAATGGCTTGTCTTTGCTTTCCAACAGTATGTTTTGTGTTCGTGAGGCTTCATTTCAAGAAACTCAAAGTTTCAAGGAACTCAGAGATGAGGAGGTAGGAGATCATATTATCCCCAATCTCTGAAAAGGAAACTGACTCACAGATACAGCTAAGACTTGTGCTATGACAGACACCAGTAGGTGGACTAAATGATTAGAAGACCTAGATGTATACTCCCAAACTGGAGATTCTCTGATTCTCAAAGAGCCAATACTTACCAACCCACACTGGCTTTCTTGATAATTTATTTTAAAAACCAATTACCTGTAGCATTCCATCAGGGTAGGCACAACATTTAAGGGCCTAGTACATAAAGGCAAAATTTGTTGTCATTTCCTAACATTGTTATTTTCATCAGCAAAATTGCCTAATTTGGTTACAGTTGTAGGACCAAGAAATGGAAGCAGGCAGTGGATACACACAAGCAAACTGTTGGGTCGTCGGGAAAGTCATGAAGCATTTTTGCATTGAAGAACATAGAAAAAAACGTCATGACTTTCCTGACGACCCAGTAGGTTCACATTGAATGTGCTTCATTAAAAGGCCAGCTGAAACTGCCAAGGTCAGTTTGTGGGCTGTGTTTTGTCAACTGTGAACTCTCAAGGAAAAGAATCTTTAGCTAGCCATACCTTCAACATACGAGTACGTGAGCTTGCTGGTGTTCCTCTCCATAAATGGACTAAAGAAAATGAGATTTCTAGCTCAATTAGAAAAGTGACCAAATTCGGCCAGAAGATGGGCATAAATGTGTAAATCCCTCATGCCATTGTCTAGCAAAAATTCTAATGCCTCTTCCCCCCATAATCTACCAAATGCCTCAATATTACTTCTGTAAAACTTCAATATGGTATCATATCATTTACTAATTAATGATAATCTCATATAATTCTTAAAAGCAAGGGTGACAAAAACAAGCCTTAGGCAGGCCTATAGGATTTACAAAAGCCCTACAGAGCATTTAGGATTCACAGCCAATGGAATAAGCGGAGCTAATCGTGCACGATAAACTTCTTATCCACCTGCTTTTACTGGTGCTGTGAAAAAGTGGGTCTTTCTTGAATTTGGCTAAATAATTGTTGAACTCTTTATTCGACTTTAGCGTAAGATACCTTGTTTTCAAAAGTATCAGCATAAAATAGCACAAATAATGAATTTTTGCCAAAAGCTATTCCTCTCTCTTGACTCATCTCTAATGATCAGACCCCATCACATTACACCAACAAGACCCCATTTTTTCTTTACTGGTGAACTTTTATTTACTTTTAATCAAATTTCTTTCTTTTTCTTTTTCTTTTCTTTTTTTAAAATCAAATACACCAGAGAACACAACATGATTAGTCATTAGGGAAATGCAAATTAAAATCACGATGCGATACCACTTCGCTTCCATAAAAATGGCTGTAAGCACGAAGTCAGACAGTAGCACATGTTTGGTGAGGACATGGAGAAACTGGAACCTTCATTCATTGGTGGTGGGAATGTGAAATAGTAAAGCCACTTTGGAAAACACGTTGACAGTTTCTTTAAAAGTGAAACATACATTTACCATAGGGTCCAACAATTCCACATGTAGGTAGTTATCCAAGAAAAATAAAACCATATGTCTACACAAAGACTCATACATGAATGTTCACTGCAGCGTTATCCGTAATAGCCAAAATTGGAAATAACCCGTATGTCCATCAACTGGTAAGTGAATAACAAAATATGGTATATTCATATCACAGAATACCACTTATCAATAAAAAGTAACAACATACTAAAATAGCCACCAGGTGGATAAACCTCAAAAACATTATAAGCAAAAGAAGCCAGTCATAAAAGACCACATAGTGCATGATGCCATTTATATGGAATGTCCAATAACGGCAACTCGATGGCAAAAGAAAGTGTGTTAGTGGTTTTCTGGGGCTGGATGTAGGAAAGGAGATTAGCCATAAATGGGCATAAGGGATCTTATTGGGATAATAAAAACGCTCTAATACTAGACTACAGTGTTATGGTGAGGGTTGCATAACTTGATAAATTTACTCAAAAATTATTCAGCTGTACACTTTATAGTGGGTCACTTTTATGGTATCTAAAATGTATAGCCTTAGAATTTCAGCGTGATTTGTTTCCCTCTGATTCTAAGAGTATAAACTGTGTATCATAGAAGAATGTCCCAGGTAGAAAAATGTTTACCCCGACTTCTGGTTTTCAGTTCTGCATGTAAGGGCTTGGAAGTCATCACTCCATGCCTAACAACAGGTAAAAAGCTGAATAGACTGGAAAAATTAACAACTCTTCTTAGATCCTTAAAAGAGGGGTGGACACAGGGCAAACCGCTGCCCCCCCAAATTGGAGAGAGAGACAGACATGCAAATACAGGGAGTCACAACTTCCCGAGCACAGACTCACCAGCGGGAACCACCTCAGAGCCAGTGCCAGGGTCTCAGTGTCCGATCTGTGGCTGATGAACTACTGGAGGCTCAGTGGACAAGTCTGGGAGTTAACTTCAGGCCGACCCAGGCATAGGGAGTCCCTACAGTATTGTAAGATTCACCCCCAGGAACTCGACCAGGATTGCTGAGTAAAATATTGGAAAACTATCCTTTATGTTTCTGGCAGAGGGAGGGGAAAAGGAAAGATTCTGAAATATTCCAGAGCTCTGTGTTCTTAGCAAAGACAAACTAGTTAACCAGAAATGAATCTGCCAGGTCTATTATAACCTAACAGACCTGGGAGAAAGGAAACTCCCCCCTCCAGCCTACCCTAGCCATCCTGTTCAACCTAAGGGGGAAGAAAAGAAAAAAACAACTACAGTAAAAAACACTGGTGAAGTTCACAGTTTAGAGGCATAGGCTCGCGAAAGACAGACGTAATCACAGGCATACTTCAGAAAACCCCCAGGGAAAACGGAATTATTCTGATAACTTTGCTTTTGTTATAGGGTTGTATAATTTCAGTGTCTCCTTAGCTGATATCAATACTGTTTTCTTTTTAAAATCATATCAAAATATGTACATTAAAAAAATTTTACACCCTCCACCCCCACCAAAAGCTCCAGAGTGTTTACTAGGAATTAACTGTTAGTCACAGCTTCATCTTACTACTGACGCTTAATTTCTGTTGGTCAGATTCTAAAGGAAAGTAAGTAATGTGTGTACAATTTGTGGGTATAGCCTAATTTGGGAGTGTAAGAAATTTTAATCTAACACTGGCTTTCACTCCTTGTTTGCATGCAGGATTATTCCCTCATATAACCAGTTCCTTCAGAAAGTCCCTTGATGTCAAGCACAGAGTGGTAAGTCCAGCGTTTCTCAGTGATCATTAATCCCCAGAGAGCTTAAATGACTGCACACTACTGCTCATAGGGGAAATGTTGTGTCAGGTTCCCATGAGCCTCTGGTCACTACAATTTCACCAACTGACCAATACGTAAATTTGTTTTATGTGAGTTTCTGTTTAAAGACACCTCATTTACTATACGTTGTTGATTTATTAATGTTGAACTCACAGCCAGTGGCACTGTAACTCATGCCTAAATGAAGGTCATCTAACATAACGTATGTTCTCCGTAAGGCACGTCACAGTCTTCTTGTGGGGCCATTTTAAACAATAAAATCACTAACCAAAAGCTTTAAAACACAGAAAATGGGACACTAAGTAGGCTGCAAAAAAGGACACTTATTTACAGTTTGAGAGCTGAAACAAGAAGCAAAGTGCCCTCTTGTTTGACTTTGACTGAGAATGTGCCTGTTCACCCCTCTGTGCGTGTCCTTGAACGACCTCAAAAGTGTGAGGCTTGACTTTGGGGTTACAAATGCATTTTAGAGAGTAGGCAAATCCATGAATGAGGATCGATGGTATTCATTTCCTTTGCCCATTTTTCTATTAGGGTTTTTAGTTTTTCTTATTGATTTATATAAGCGATTTGCATATTCGAGTAGCAGTCTTTTACCTATCCTGTTTTGTAAATATTTTCCCCAGTTTTATCTTTCCATTTTACTGTTAGTATCTGTTACTATCGTGGCTTTTGGCAGCAGTATCAAAATGCCTTTTGAATAGGAAGGACAGCACTGGAAAAGGAATTTTGTTAAATTTCTATTGTTGTTGAAAGTGATTGGTATTTATCTTTATCCCTCTTTTTCACAGGCACACCAAATCCTGTCTGGTGTTTTTTCTCCAGCACCTCCAAATTATGAAAAATCAGGTAAATCCTATCCTAAATTACTACTTTATATCCATGTTCTGGCTTGATTTTAATTAAGATGGTCACGTGATAAGTTCATCCCTTCCAGAGTCTGAGGCCGTCTGAGGCGTTTGGCATTTCTGCCTTCTTGTTACTTCATTGTACTCCTCCTAACAGTAAGGGCAGTGGGATGCAGAAGTGCAAGGGGGGAGAAGTCCCATAGAGACGTTGGCCAGCAGCAGCTCTGCAACACAGAGCAAACTTGTGAGAAGGTTGTGGTGTGGGGCAGGGGTTTGGGGCGGGGGGTAGTGTGCGTGTGAGGGTTTGGAACTATGGATTAAAAGATGGTTTTAGGAATATCAATAAATTTCATTTGTTCATACTACTGTAGACTGTGTTTATCATAAGCCCTTACTCATTGGCTGGCTGTCTGTTCATGCTAGATGCAAGGATTAAAAAGCCAGCATCTGAGAATCTGATAAACTACAATCGACGAAGGACAGACTTTCTGAGGCGTGTAAGCATCTTTTTACTTGTCACCCAGCAGTGGATCCCTGAGGTAGCATCAGTAAGTGAGCACAGTGTGGCGGTGAGAGCGGTGGCGTTGTGTGTGCGTGTGCGTGTGCGTGTGTGTGTTTACAGTTGATGGCGTGTACATGTGTGTTTAGAGTTGGTGTGAAGAAGGTAATCCCTTAATTTACAATCAAGTGACAAACAGAAAAGTGCTGTTCTGATAGCCTCCTTTGAAGCATTGTGAACATTTCTTGTCTAGAGCTGTCCAGTTGTTTCGGAATTAAGCCTCAAAGGGGATTGGAATTTCTCTTGTACTGTCCAAATTTTCATGAGTGATGTCAGTGACTTGCTGGATTCTGCCTCTTGCAAAAAAGGCATTATGTTCTCAGACTATCCTGCCTTCTGGGAACCCACCCTGGGTGCCTAGTGGCCTGGGCCCACTCTCCTCAGTGACGGTTCTGCCACCCTCATGTGGCTGTCCCTGCACTCCCTGACATGGCCCTCCAGAGCAGGGTCTCTGTGTTGCCTGATCAGACTTTCTCAAAACCCAGTAATTTTTTAAAATTAAATTTATTGGTGGTGACATTGGTTAGTAAAACTATATAAGCATCAAGTGTACAATTCGGTAATACATCATCTGTATATCACATTGTGTGTTCACTATCTAGGGTCAGTTCTTCCATCACCATATATTTTATCCTTTTTTCTCTCTTCTACCAACCGCCCCCCTCCCTTACCCTCTGGTAACCACTAAACTGTTGTGTGTCTATGAGTTTTGTTTCTTAGTTTATTTTCTTGCCCCTTAGTAGCTTTGAGTTTTATATCCCATATATGAGTGAAATCATATGGTTCTTGACTTTTTCTGTCTGATTTATTTTGCTTAGCATGATAATCTCCAGATCCATCCATGTTGTCACAAATGGAACTATTTCATCTTTTCTTATGGCCGAGTAGTATTCCACTGTGTATATGTACCACATCTTCTTTGTCCAGTCATCTATCGAAGGACACTTTGGTTGTTTCCATGTTTTGGTCACCGTGAATAATGCTTCAATGAACATTGGGGTGCATATATCTTTACGGATAAATGTTTTCAGATTTTGGGGGTAGATACCCAGAAGAGGGATTGCTGGGTCATATGGTAATTCTAGTCTTAATTTTTTGAGGAACTGCCATACTGTTATCCATAGCGGCTGTGCTAATTTCCATTCCCACCAGCAGTGTGTGAGGCTTGTTTTTACCTGGGCCTGCCTTTGTACCCTTTTTAACTTAAAAGAACAGAGCCACACCTATATTATATGTGCATAGTTATATTGCGTTTGCAGACTAAATTGTCATGTTATGAAAGTTTGTGTGTTTTTAATTTTCTTCCCCTTTTTTCTTTTATTATATTTAAAATTTTTTTTTCTGGTTTTGTATGAGAATGAGGTTAAAAAGTGTTCTCCAACACTTGTTATTATTTGCCTTGTTGATTATAGCCATTCTAACAGGTGTGAGGTGATATCTCCTTGTAAAACCCAGTAATTTTTAGCAAGAGGTTAAAATGGGATTCTTTTATGTCTTAGAGTTCTGGCAGAGGCTCCTTGAGAATGAGTAGCAAGAATAAAACTGGTTTCTGCAAGTACCCTGCTGACCTCACCTCATTCATACAAATGTTACAACTATTTTTGCTGTTCTATAAGACTTTTATTAATATTTCTTTAAATTGACTTAAAAAAACCCAACAACTCAGCCTTACCCTAAGTAATTATATTTACAATACCATGGGTTTTGTATGCTAGTTATATGTATTAGGGGAAAAAAAACAACCTGACCATTAAAATAAAAAATGTTGTTCAGGTACCACCTAACATTGTCATAAAAACCACCAGTAATGTATAGATGTCATTCTAGAAAATGCTAGTTCATGGGCACCAACTAGTTAATCTGATAAACTTAGCTAATGGGAAAAGGTTGGACAGCCCACCGTGGTTCCCAGGTCTATTTAATGGTGGCCTTCCAGAAATAGTGTCTTTTTCTTGATTTTTCTGCTAGAAGACCTGGTAACTTTCCTAAGGAGCATTGCGAGCATGGGCAGGCAGTGTGCTGGCAGGCTGTGGAGCGAGTTATCTGGGGGCACGTGGAACTGGGCCATCCCCTGAAAATTATGGTGTGCGGGCAGCCGGGGACCTCCCTTCACTACAGGGTTGGTGCGCGCTTCTAGGAAGGATAGACAATTTCCTGAAAGTATATTTACTGCTAGCTGGACTCCTGGGAGTTGCTTGGGAGAATCATTAACTATTGTTAAACAAATAAATCCCCTTTGCCGCATGGAGTTGTACTGGTGCCAAGCAATTCTATTGCCAGTGTCCGCAGCTGTTCTGGGGAACAGTTGCCTTTCTCTTTGAGGTGCTGCCCCGACCCCCTCCCCCAAAGTGAATTCTCTATATCACAGTAGCCTCTTTTAAGTCAACAATTCC